GGAATGCTTTCTCTTTATATATACGTTCAGTTTTATTTGTTGCTAAGCAAAACACAAGCCATATCTAACTCATTGTCTTGGATTTAATGGGTACTTAATAGTTTGACTTAAATTCAAGTTCTTGGGAGATTTTGTATAAACACATTAGATATTTTTATTATAATTGAAAAGAGAAAAAAACTTCCAAATCAGTCTTTGAGCAGGAACTTGTGGGTCTTAGTGTTTTTAGTATACTTTGTTTTTGGAGTAACTAGTTTTTAAATTAAAAAAAATTTTTATTTGGTGAAGCTATTATAATGTCTTATTTTTAGTTTAATTTATTCTGTCTTGACATTCTTTCCCTTTACTTTTCTAAGGTGGTTATGGAGGCAGCGAATCAGGTTATATCTCGAAGGGACTGGGATAAATCCTGTTCCTGTGGACCTTCATGAACAGCAGCTAAGTTTGAATCAACATAGCAGAGCCTTCAACATTGAACGTATTCGTAATGAAAGTAGGTGGATTGTGATTTAGATGTGTTTTGGGCAGTATCTAAGTTACTAACAGTTACATTGACCTCTGATTTTTTAAAGTAATAATTTATTTATAATTACTTTGGTATTTTAGTGCCACTAGTAACACTTAAAGGATCCTTGGTAGTGCAATGGTTAAGCACTTGGCTGCTAACTGAAAGGTCAGCAGTTCGAACCCACCAGTTGCTCCACAGGAGAAAGATGTGGCAGTCTGCTTCTGTAAAGATTTACAGCCTTGGAAACCCTATGGGGCAGTTCTGCTCTGTCCTACAGGGTCGCTATGAGTCAGAATCAACTTAACAGCAATGGGTTTGGTTTCGTTTAGTAACACTTAAGAAAGTACAGTGAATTGCTTTAGTTGTAAACATTAATGTTATGATTAGAATCTGAAGTAAAAAATGTAGCATATTTCTAGAAGAAACATTTTCTAGGACAGGCTTGAAAATTAGTTGACTAGGGAGGGATTATAAAATCTAATATTGCAGTAGTTTTTCAAGATGATCACCTTAAAAAATAAATTTCTAAAATTTATATCCAGATGGGTACTCTACTGCAGTTTTCTTATTTCTGTTATGGTAAACTAAGGTGTAACTATAAAAATGACAGGGAGTGTCATTTACTGTGTTCAGGCATTATGATGGGGCCTGGATTTAAAGGTTACTTGGTGATTGATTAAGTAAAATGAGCTTTAGATACCTAACAATTGTAAATGATTGCACTGGAAAAAAAAGCAATATATTCAATATTTTTCTTAAGGAACTTTGATATATCATTAATTAATTAGAGGCTGCATTAGGCTGGGTTCTCTAGAGAAGCAAACCCAGTGAAGTGTGTGTGTATCTGTGTATGTGTGTATA